GAGTGTGTATATAATCATCCAAAAATTAACGATTGCTTATACTTTCTCGTGTAGCTAAAAAAATCAAGCGATTGATATATTTACACGAAAATCGATATATTTAGTGACGGATTTTGCCTATAATATATAAATCATGTGAGGAAATTTGCATCAATAGGGGAGTAACTGACGCCGGAGCAAGAATTTCATATATATAAATCGTGATCGGCATGCTGATCATCACTATTGACAACATTTCGAACCCCTGTACGGGGACATGTCCCATGACTGCTATGCACTTGTCATACCGATTAAAACTTATTTCAGGGGCAATAGATATTAAATGTTTCAGAATTACGTGTACCAACAAATTTTTTAAATAATACTGACAATTTGCTTTACCAGATTCGATGTATAGTAAAAACTTGATTAATTTTGTACCTGGATTTGTTAATAAATAAATTCAACGACTCGATCGAATATTTCAACAATTAGCAAAATACTTAAATATTAAACTATCATACTTGTGATAGCAAGCTGACTTTCTTGTGCACAGGCGTGACGGCACATTCTCAATGTTGTGTTTACTAATTGTGATGCTCACCAGATTCAACCGTTTATGGGAATTTATTGTCGGAATTGCTGTCCATATCAAGTAGTAATTATCAGACTACAATCGAAATCGACATTGATGCGAAAAATGTTTAGACTTTTTTTTTAGCCGTGTCCAGAATAGAGAGTCAGCGAAAATCGCAACAAAGCGTTGAATGCGAGTACAGTATTATATTAACGTGAACAAAGAATATGAGTAGACATAACTGAAGTAATATCACTTTCAGAATGAGAAATAAAACCGATAATTGTTGGGTTTTTAGTCAGGGGATTGAGATTGTTTCAAGAAAACGATCGTTCACCGCGAACCACTCCGTGTGTCCGTCGGTCGTGCGACACAGTTATGGACATGAGCTTGTAGATTTCTTGCTTACATAAAATTTCGTGCACCTCACCGCTTTGAAATGAAATTATCGAATTTGGAAGTGATTGGCAAATCACATAAAAAATTCGACGCTTATATTTTCTAACTGTAATTCTTGTGTTCAGAGTATTAATTTGAAAGTAGAATTTTGAGTTTACTTGTAACGATTTGATTTGCTGTCCGAAAATACAAAACCGATCTTTAATATTTTTACCGTCAAAATGATAACCAAAAGAATGGAAAGGAAAGAGAAATTTTTATTTTTTTTTTTTACAGATACGTGATTCACAAAACTTGAAATCTGGTACACGCATAACCCCTGATGATATTAATGTCATGTGTCACGATTTCCAAAAAGTGTTTAATATAAATATATTTACACAAGCCTATAAATAAATCTATTACTCGGTGGTTGCCAAGTTCTTTGTTTCTCACAGACAGTTATTTCCTCTGCAACAAACTTAACGAGTTTATGCATGCTTTGTAAGAATTAATAAATCTTTAATCACCGATTAGCAATTGCCTAAATTTCTCTAATGCTGATCTTTTGCAGTAATCGGCAGATCGGCAGCCTCCATTCGATTTGATACTTCAGGTAGTTCAATCACAGGTTGATCATTATACTAATACGTGTATCGGAAATGTCGGCACCAAGCACATGCATAGCGATGTAATTTAACCGCGACTCTCAATAAATTGTTTTTGTAAACATCCTGATTTTTGTGTAAGAAATTTGATAAAGAAAATTTTTTGGTTTTTCTACTTTTTAATTATAACTACTAGTGTTCCACAAGTCTTTTAACATTGGTTCGAGCTAACATCTTTCCCATAATTACGAGCAAGAGAAAAGTTTTTTAATAAAAAAGGGTAATTTATTACTTGTTTGCCGACGTAAAAATTCACTTCGGACATATAACCAATAAGATTTTGCAAAACAAGTATGTGATGAGGGAAGGGAATACGCGTATCATAGGTTGTTTAATGCCCGTCTCAGCATTACATTATCTCTTTGTTTCTCGCGTTGGTGTGCAATTAATTTGTTTTTTTATTCATACTAACTATTAATTCTACATTCTAATAATATTTTTTATTCAACAGAAATTTCTACCCCTATTTGTGCAGTAAAATATTACCATCTGTATTTAATAGCGCTTAGTTTTATGATGTTGAATATTTATCTTTGTCATTCGACGGTTATTATTACGATCTCCAATTTTCCAATGACAAACGGTTAATTATACTATTTGTTTCGGATCGGATATTTGGATATCGTAATTATATTCCATATTAGCTAAATTTAACAATTCACTAATTAATAAAATTCTGACTAATATCAGAAATTTACTTTGATGTTTTTACATACATTGACTTTTTTAAATTTTTTTGACAGTAGCGACAATTTAAACTTAAGTAGAGGCTGAAATAGTTTATTTCTAACCAGTAAAATTTTTTCTTGAAGTAAATAATTTATATATCACTATCGTTGTTATCCTTACTCAATACTAAATTTTTCGAGTCCTACTCGATGCAATTATTCTCAAGCCAATAAAACTTGTCGGTACAAAAAACCAAATTGCTTAATCAAGAATTAGATTCGATATTTTGAGCCTTTGGGGTATATCGATATTGCTTACTATCATTACCTAATTTAATTCTCTAACAACAGCAGAATCTACAGAAGATCTATCTGGTTATATTTAACTTGAACGACATACAGTAATTCATTACGCTGTAATTTCCCAAACAACCGATATTTATCACCGATAGTAATGTGCGTATTATGATGTTCTATTCGGATTTCATTATTAACCAACTTTGTTAAGATTTAGTATTTGCAACATGCACAGGAATTTCTCGATCCAATCGTAAATTAGAGGATTAATTAATAATTTTATCAAAAAGTTCTGATTCGGATGCGTGGAAGATAATTGTGTTTAGGATGTTGTAACAGGTCTGATAAAGATGGATATGCAGCATCTTTTTTTTCCTACGTATACAAAATAATTTACTACAACGATGACTAATCTGTTGCATATATTACCCCCCTTTCTACCGTTCCTCTCTGCTTGGCCGATTTTGATTTCATGCATGTAAACATCAGTCAAACACTTTGTTTCTTCAGTACTTTTCTTCTTTTTTTTTGTTTGGTGTGCCCAAGTAAACGCTGTTCGTGCTTGATTACAAATAAATACATTGGTGTAATTCGATCGATAGCTAATACTGTATTATTCCTACAAGTATGCTCATACTGATTGACATATTAATTTAAGATTGACAAGGTCGTCGAATGTTTCGAATGCCGAATTGCACACAGTTACCAATTTGTGTATAGCCTCTTTGTCATGCGGTTTAAATCAATAGAACTAATAATAACGTTGACTCGAAATTAGTGAATTATGACCGTGTAAGTTGCGGACTTAATTTCTATTTTTGGTAAAATTAAGCGTCCGAATTCGCTCACCATGTTTTAAAGATCTTCATAAACTTAATATTCGACACTTTTTTTGCCCCACAAAAAAGCGCTGAAAAGTGAAATTAACTTTCATCAATCCATCGTTGGCTTTTAATTTACAAGATTAATTATACGTTTATAAGTTTTATTATTATCAAAGAGTATGAGCAAGAGTTATGGTTGGGATTGGGGGTTGAAGTTGGAGTCGGAGTTGGGGGTTGAAGTTGGAGTTGGGGTTGGGTGATAAAATTTATGAGTAAATTGTATCATGTTATAACCTAAACTCGATACAGATAACCTTACTCACGTACGTACGTACGTACGTTTCCCCATGGACGTCGCGACAACTATGGTTGATTGAGGATTACCAATTACAATGATAGTATGCAATAATAAAGGTAAGACTGCTAAAATTCCTAATAGAGCATCCGATCTCTTGTGTCATGTCATTACTCTACCAATTTTTTTTGTCTAGCATGCTTATAAATTTATATATGTCAAATGTTTAATTAATTAATAAGCACATCTTGGCATGCTAATTAATTTTTATATCCCATGATACGTCAATGTCAACAGTCGTTTAGATGAAAATAATATACTATTGAAATCTTTTATTTACATTCCTGGACATTTTTGATAACATTAAATTTTGGTCACCTGCACGTTAATCAATGACAAGTACTACGTAGAGTATAAAGACGAGTCGTAAATGTTGTATATCAGTGGCGTATTTGGCGTTACAATGCAATTTATTAATTATGAAAATATATGCCTGTGTACATGACATGCATAAACTTTATTAAGCATGCGCAAAAAGCAACCCCTGTCTATGGTTGTGACAAAGAAACGTCGAGCATTATCCCATTCTGGTTTTACCCCGTTTTCTTTTCTTCTTTCTGTGATCTGCGATTCATGTGAACGTTTTTTGGGGTGATTTTTAATATTAATATTAACGCAATATGTAAAGTAACCCGATCTGATTAAAATACTGTCATAAAAGAAAGCTTAAAATGTGTAGATCCACGATCATCCTGTTACGTGGCCCAACTTCACGCCTCCACTCCCTCGGAAATTTATTGACGGTCAATCATAAGATTCGGGGATTGCGTCAGACTAACGCGTGGTTTTTTTTTATGCATCCATATAGTCTGCTTGCATTATACTTACCGGAAAATCTTTTATGAGAGCAATTGAAAGACAAGTGGATACAACTTTTAATTGCGATTTATTTTTAGTGCCCAAAAAGTAAACGTTTCTATAAAATATTGCACAAGAACACGAGGGGCGTCTTTTGTTCGTTCCCTTTTGCTTACAAGAGATTCGTATTTTCGACTCTTGACATATTTTAGTGTTCTTTGTTTACAGATACATCTGATGTGGAATGTATGACGTAAACACCAGTTCTTGTTTTTTTAAAGTACAAACCAAAAGCGAATAGATTTACAAAATGAAAAAATACCGTGGGGAATCCAAATAAATGATTAATAAAGTAAAATATTTAACTAGATCATTAATATGTAAAAGAGAAAAGAAGAGTAATACAACATCAAGCGGAGCACCAATCCACAACATTGGAACATGTAGGCATCTTTCCTAAAAACTAGGAACACCCACGGCCGATAATGCTCCAGATCCAGTAGACACATCAGAAGTGCTACGATAATGCCCCGTCGTATCTGAAGAACTCAACTGACTACCTATAGAATTACCACTTAAACTTCCTTCAACCCCAAAGTCACTGGCTCCCCAGACCTTTTTCGCTACATTCGATTGTCCCATAAAAGTTTCATGCAACGAAGACCGATGGTTGCCGACCGGCTGAATCTCGAGTGCATTGATCATTTTTTGTGCTGAAGATCGTCCAAACGATCCAGACGATCCAATACTATTTAGATTCACTTGAGACGGCGGTGGGGGTAGCGGTATCATCGGCGGTGGCGTTGGCGGCGGCACAATCCCATCATTAATAGTCACTATTGCAGTTAGTGAATTTGACGATGACATATTCCGTATGGATGTCTGCTGTGATTGTCCAGCAAATGTACTCGGGAGAGGTGATGTCGGTCGGGATGTCGGAGGTGAAGTTGCACGAAGTATTGGTGACTGTACCCTTGGCGGCGGAGACAACGATGTACTTGTTGATTGTGTTAATGTAGATAACGATGACGGAGAACGGGCGTGTCCCTCTGTATATTGTACTGGCTGCGAATGGGTTGTTATTTGTGGACGCTGTTTAGATGTAGGGCTATCTCCCTCGTGAGATACTGTAGAACTTTGTCGATATAGCCGACTGCTATTCGAGTTCTGTGTTGCTTTTCGTTGGAGTTCACGGTTTTGTACGGATGCTGGATGCTCGTTCAGCCATTCGCTTGACGCTTTCTGATCCATCCATTTATGATTGTTATACTCATCACCAGGTAATGTTCGTGAATCTGTCTCGTGGCCATTATGAGGCAATCTTGTCATGGCTTGTGGAGGAGGAGGCGGTAGAGTGCTTACAAAATCAACACTAGTCGGACTGGACGATGAGCTTCCGGCTTTTTCAACGGCCGTAGAACTGCCACTGCTTCTGCTGCCACTCTTTGACCTCGTAGCATTATTATGATATCCTTCGCCGCGCACACTCATTTCCGGGGTGCTCATGCCATTGTGATTCCTACGTGCCATTTTGGTATAGTCGTATACCACAAACTTCTCTTCCATCATGCGCATTTCTTTCGATAGCTCTGAAAGGTCCTGGTTTGGATTAGCACGCTTTTTGGCTTTTAGGGGGTTGTCTTCGAGTAGTAGTTCTTCTAATTCGTGGGTCGCGTCAAAGTTTGCCTGCTTGGACTGATATTTTCAAATGTGAAATGACGTTAGCAAAGCGCGAAACGCAAAAGCCAGTATAATCAAAATATTCATGGTTACACTATGCTTACATCAGGTACGAACGGTGGAATAGTTTCTTTCGCGAGTAACTTATCCCATTCCATTCCAGCGAACCACGGATGGCGCTTGATTTCTTCCAAGCCATCAGGGCCGCAACCAAGGCGTTTGGATATATCTCGTTCACAGAACTAAAGAAACAATAGTTATTAGTATAAGCACGAGAAACAGCAAATAGTTTGGGTAATATAAATAGCCAACAGGAAAATCGTTAAAAACATCATTCAATAATACACTCACTCTTTTCAGACAGTCAATACAATCATCTGAAACCATCTTATGAACGTCCTCGGGAAATTGTAGAGGTTCATGAAGTATAGCTTGTGTAAGGTTTACGTTTGTCTTTCCTTTGAATGGTCGCTTAAAGAGAAAAGTAAAGAGTATAAGTACCAAAGACAACCATGGTACGTCATCACCCATTGCCGTCCTCCTCCGCCTTTCTAAACTAACCTTGCTAAAAAGTAACTCGTACATAACAACTCCGAGAGACCACCAATCAACCGAACTCAAATATCCTTTTTTCGTTAAAACTTCAGGAGCCATGTATGCCATTGATCCAGCAACAGACGTCAAAGGCTTTTTTTCATTGAAATGCACAGCGATATTAAAATCCGTCAAGTGAGCATGACCTTTCTCGTCGAGGAGGACATTATCAGGTTTTAAATCTCTGTTAAATCGAAAAAGCGACAGTTAGCCGGTTATATGGATAAACAAAACACATGATAGGTAGCCAGTTAACAAATCACATAATCTTTTTTACGCTCGTATATTTACCTGTGAATAATTTTTCTCGTGTGCAAGTAATCCAATCCTAGCGCCACTTCTGCGACGTAAAATTTCACCACTTCTTCGTTCATCGGCCCCTGCCTCTCCAAATGAAATCTCAAATCTCCGCCAAGCATCAAATCGAGTATCATGAATAAATTCTCATCATCTTGGAATGCATAGCGGAGATTACACACGAGAGGAAACTCTATTTCTTCCAACAGCCGTCGTTCTTGAATAATGTTTTCGACGGCTCGCATTTTTATGCATTTTGCTTTGTTGATATATTTTAAAGCGTAGAGGGTTTTAGACTTTTTGTGTTGGACAACACGGACCTTTAGTTAGATAAGACGAAAATTTTAGTGAATAATAAAAATAAGAATGTAGATACACGCATGATGAACGTTTGCGCAAAGGATTACCTTGCCGAAAGCTCCTTTCCCTACGGATCTGAGTAAATGGAAGTGTGACAATTCCACTACAAACATTCCAAAACAGGTAGAATAATAAGTATTTCAAGTTTACAGAATAAGACTCTGCAATTAGAGTCATTTGATAATATAGACATATTAGTTATGGGTATACGGCAACATTGTATTAAACCTTTGAGATGGGAAGATTGAGAGACAAGACCATTTACGGTTGGGGGAAACCGAGACGAGATGGGGAAGATTATGCGTGTATAAGCAGATTATACGCTTAGACTTTCAATAATTAAAAGATTATCACGCACACACAATTGGCAGAATTCTTTCTTAATATCGTCATATGTTTTTTTAATAGTCGGGGGCCCCACTCTTAAACAAGCCAGCTAGTTGTTCGCTCGACACGTAAAAGTCTTTTGCTCTCGCACAACCTTTTTTCTCTTTCGAGTTCTCGCAAGTCCTGTTGCATCCCTGCCACTAAGCACGTTACTCTGAACGTGTCCAAGTGGAGGATAACCCCTCAATCATCACTCTAGCACCATATGCTACTGTCCCACGAGGCTTCTTTGCTGTATGTTTTACAGCAGTTGCGGCCACACGTTGAGTCATTGTAAAGGACACTTACCCTCAGCATCAAAGTCGATTTCCTCCTCTTTACAACATCCAGCACCCATGGTTTTCGGTGGTTGTTTATATTAGGTTCGATATGGCTATTAGAATTAGAGACTAGTAATAAAGTTTCTGCTATACAATTTACTGGGATAGTCTATGTTTACAAAAAAGCGAAAAGAAGTTTGTTTTATTTTTTGTATAAGTAGAAGTACAATAAATAATAAAGAAGGAGCCAGCTTCCGAAGCAGTGTAAGAGTGTTTGTTATTTTGTACAGCGAAATAAGGAAAGTATGTTGGAAACCGTGACGGGTGGGGTGAGGAGAAGTTAAAGTGAAGGACGAGAAATGGAGTAGGAGAATGAAGAACGAAGAAGTGTGTTTCTCGAAATGTTACTTTTAACAAGCGATTGAATAGGAGTTGAATCGAAATTTGCAGGATGCGTGGAAATTAAATATGTCGGAAATGCATAGAGTAACAAGGACGTACTCAATAATAGTCATACTGCAAAGACCAATATAAATAAATGTAACAAGACATAATGGATTTTGGTTATTATTACAATAACAATGTTATCAACATTATTGTGTTCGGTTTCAGGTGTGGCGAGTCAAGGGGTTTCGCCCGTGAATGATGTTACATCTATCCAAGAAGGAAAGTAATACCGTCAATGCACATGGGGTGCAGACGCATAAATTACGTAAATACAGAAATATTATATGAAAAAATCTGAAAAGAAAAAAATTAAATACATTATCGCTCCACTGGGTTAAACAACCTATGAAGAATACAAGAGGGACGAAAATCCTCTCCTTGTCCACGTCCTTTATTACCGTCTACAATTTCAATCTGACATTCTGGTTACGAAGCTGTAGTGCAATGGTACATATATTAATATGTTACACTCAAATGATATGTGCGGCATTTACTTACTTGTGCTATACTACTGATACAACCGTATATAACAAAACCACTTTACAGGCTCAAAAACTTTGGTCCAAAGGTTTTCTTTTTACCAACAAAATACGTAAAATCGACCGTATTCGGCTACCTAACAACACGAAATTCAAGTGTTAAGAGCAGGTTAATTCAACACGACCTATTAAGGTACGTATAACAGAATTAATAATTACATAAGGAATAGGGGAAAAAAGGCCAATTTCTACCACTCACACGCCCAGCAAAAAGCATTGTGTTGACAATAATCTATGTGCAATGTTGATGATAGATAGAAAGGAGTGCGGAGGGGGAGTGCGGAGGGGGGGGGGGGGAAGGCTAAATTTTACGCAAATCTTTCAAGTAAAAAATAAAAAGTTCAAGACAATTTCGACAGGATTTGCCCTGCTTCTATTACGTAATTACCAGGCCGTCATGTCTCAGCCACACATCAATTGTATAGAATTGAATTGTTTACCCTGTTTGGGCTGAAATAGTACAACTTTTCCGTCAATCAGACAAGGAATGGCAGACAAGAGCAAACAGACGAGTCAAAGCAGACACATAAGGAGAGAATTAAAACAACGTCGGCAAAGACAAAGGGAGCAGAGAATAATCATGACAGGAAAATATGGATGACCACACGAGTGAGTGAAAAACCAAATAGGTAAGAGCGAACAGACAGGTTTCTAGCAAGCAACATGTGTGCTCTATACGAATAATACCGATACGATACTAACAGTGTTAGCTTATTTTATTATCCGTTTATATTATGTCAGCTAGAATTTAGCTGTTTATTTTAATACTCGAGAAGAACAGAGAGGCCCGGTATGTTACTATATATAACAGTTATGTAACATTACCCAACGGTCAAGAACTATTTATAACTTATAATACTAAAGAGTCACCCACGATTATTGTCATGATTATTGAATTGATGTCACAGCCTAAATATGGTTAGTAAAATTAACACCAATCAACCGTCGACCTGCACGAATGTTTGAATCCCGAAAGACTGAAAACAGAAAATTCTGATGAATGAACACATCTATTGTCATACTGTAGAAAAGACCATTCGTAACAGTTTGCACTATATGGATACATATTAACGGCATTAGAGCTTATTGTACTGCTACTCGGCGGATCTGGACTAATACGATACTAATACGAAATACACCCAGCATCGCACAAGCGATCGAACATGACCAATTGTATTCGGCCGAGACATCGTCATATGTTCACAAGAAAATTTTTAATAGCATCGGACGGCACGTTTGCAGACAACAGTCGAGAAATGGGGCTATTTCGACTGCCAATTCAACATCTTGCCACTTTTCTTCACCCCAAACTCTAAATAATTGGGGGTTTACGTGGCAAGGATTTTCCATCGGTTTATACAAATATCGCATAAAGTTTGGATACAAGAAAACAAACAATGACACACAACACTACAACAAATCCAGACAAATTGAACATAGCGCTGCACGAGAAGATTATAAAGTTAGCGGCCAAGAATCTCAATAATTAAAAAAAAAATTTTCATAACGTAAACATACTAGCAAGTATTTGTTTATACAGGGATTTTAGTGTGAAACATGACAATCAAAGGGAACAATAATTTCTTATCACTGATGTATTGGTTGAAACACCAGAACAAAACTGGCTTTACCGTTTTTGCAATGGTCAAACACGATTATAGTAAAATATCACAATCACAAATATTGTTTATTTCTCAATGAAACACTAGACATGCAACATAATGAATTAAAGAGAAAGCTAAGACTTTTTGCTCAATGCATATGACTTTCCTTCCTTCGAATGGATACTTTCCCATGGTGTCATGATAAATAATTGTATATGCAAAGTGAACGTAACTCTGAATGATTTCAGAGTTCAAAACTGCCGAAACGTCTGCAGTCATATTATTCATGAGCTTGCTTTACATTTTAATAAAATAGCGTAAACATTATTTAAATTTTCATAAATGCATACTTATTATCTTCATCATTATAATGCCACAGAGTGATTGCGCGAGAGAAAATACGCTATTAATGATAATCGATTATTCTTATGTATGATTATCTTTTTTGTAACAATTATTAATAATATGATTATCGCTATTATTAATTTTATTTTTTCTGCATCACATAATCTTGATGGGGTTACATTTTCTTCTTCTCTTTTCCTATCGTAAGGCAAGCAATGGCCTTGGTTTTTGTCGTATATTTTACCCGGAAGAGTAAAACTTTTGCAACCGTTCGCTAATGGAACATTGTTTAGCTTGGAATTCATTCAATCAAGAGTTATTATGTGGGCGTTGTGTAATTACACAGTTCCGAACAAAAAATAAAATAATACATTGTTTGTCAAAGACAGTTTCTTTACGTATAAGTTAAACTTTTAGTAACAGATTTTACTTGCAGTAAAAAGATTATAATTGCACAAAGTTTTAGCCAAGTACAATTGCACTGTATAACAAACATGTTGTTGCTAGCTTTGAATTTAAAATAGTGGTAGCATGTGTTCGCGTGAATAGGTATAATTTGTATTATATTAATGCCGAACATTAATCTCTCTGCAAAAGATGTCTAAAATTTTACAATTTTAAATTTTATTCCAACCAGCATTGAAAACACGAGCAACTAATAAAATGCATCAACTTTAAATTTCTTTCGGAACAAAAACCAAAATTCGTGACCATTTATTTCTTAAAAGATTCCTGACTGTTGTTATTGTTCTTCAAGACTGTATTAAATGCGAGTTGATTTACAGCGTCGTTTATTTGTGAATAGAACTTGGAGCATAAAATTTCAAGACTTTAGATAACATTGCAAAGCAGTTTCTTTTATAGAATCAAAAGTATATCTCATTTGCAAAACTAAAAGCCGGCTCAAGTTAGTAGATCAAAGACTACGCGTTTGCTAGTGCTGCAGTAGAAAAATAGCCATTTACTAAATACAAGTGGCTCTCGATATAAGAAAGTGATCGAGCCATAGTAAAATCTTAGAATCCTTCTTATACTAATACCGAAAGTTTATTAATAACTTTCTTATATGGAGATGATTTTATATAGACTGATTTTCAGCTCAACTTTTTTATATCAAATTTTAATTAGTGTTTCTTATATCGAGAGCTTCTTATATCGAGTTTCACTTGTAGTCTGTATTATCTGATTTTCTGTTAATGACTTGCTAAACCAAGATCACTTGAATTTTAGGCTCAACCAGAGAAAAAAATAAAGAGCTGCTGGCATTTGAAAGTGCTTTCCCAACTCTTAAACCAGATCCAGCATACATGAACAGATTTTTTAATCATTACATCTGTACAATAATCCGGTAGTCAAAACGTTAATTACAATTTCATTATGTCGGCTAAGAAAGACCAAGACATTTTAAATTGATTTGAGGCATTTGTATATACATTATGACAGTTTTAGTCATGAAAGCATTTATTAGTTAAAAAAAAATCAAGCTATAAATAGTATTTCTATTGCATGTGATGTTCGGGATCGTTAGCAATTCTAATTACAATGAGATATTGAAAGCCACTTTGCGGTTACGAGTTAATATTAAGACGCGTAAGTGTAAACAATATATGTTACAAGACGCTTCTGACTATGTCTACATTAATTAGTATTAAGATTATATGTAAGCGTGGCCATTCTTCCCAACAGTCGCCTTTTCTTCGCAGTCTCATTACATTTTTTGTCATATAATAACCTTTATATGCGGCTGAGAAGGAAATATTACAAATCGAAGGGAATGATGACAAATATTGCATGCACGTGACAGTCTAATACAAAATGACTACAAAAGTACAGCGAGCATGCATAAATCGTCAGGTAATTTAAAATAAACTGCCTACTAACCAAAAAATAATGTTTAAAAAATGTGTACAAATCACTAATCATACAAAAGGTACAAATTATTCATTACTGCATTTGATGGAACAAATCGTTTAGACCGATTGGGAGGAACGGCATTGAATCCGCCCGAGACGAAGAGGAATTATTGTCCGAGAGATGGTTAAGAGCAATTTTTCGTAGCCGTTCTGTAACTTCCGGCCCACTACGGGTCGCTAGTTGATGGAAGAAGCCGTCAGGCTTGTCGAGTAGACGAAGCGGGGTATC